CCGCCCGCCGCCCCGCCTGCCTGTGGCTTCCTGCCCTCCTCGCAGCGAGCGTGGACTTTGCCTGACTCCAAAAAACCTCCCGCAGCTGCCAAAGTCGCCTCCGGCTTTGCAGGCAGCGCGCCTGCGCCTGGCTCCGGGCCCTCTCCCGCGTGCCTCAAACACCGGGAGATTTTGCATGGCTACGGGCTACGTTCTGCCTGCGCAACCCTTTTTTTTTTTTTTCCCCTCCACGCACACCGGAGCCAAGCAACGACCGAGAAGCTGCTTGTGGGAATCCCGAGACCCGTGCGCTTCCCAAGAAGGCGAAGTCCGATGGAGCAACGAGGTTTCCTGGCATGCAACAAGGTTTTCTGCTGTGCAAACGCCAGCACCGTGGATAACCACTCCACTTCGGCCAGTCTCGGCCGTGTTTGCAAGTGAGGAGATGGCCTGGAAGCCCCGAGCTTGGATGGTGGCTGCGGCGCGGACCCAGCGTGTCGGACCGCAGGCAGGATTCGAGTCTTGGGCGCGGATCCTACCAGCTGGATGCCAGCCACCACCGTTAGGATTTGCCTCGAGGCGCGAATCACTGCAGGGCACTGAGCTACCTGCTCCCCAAAGACTCGGATGCGGCTCTGAGGGCTCGCGGCCAAACCCCAAGGCATTAACCGGAAGAGAAGTCACCTGTGGGACAGCCCCAGGCAGAAGCCAGCAAACTTCCTTTCACCCCAGGTGGCCCCAGATGCTCTCCCAGGGATTTTATTCACAAAAGCGCCTCGGAAAGCACGCATGGGAGCCACGGACACCTCCTCCGAGCTCGTAGCCACAGGCAACAACGTGCTGGGACCACCGCAAAGCCCAACAAGCAACAAGTCTCAGGGTCAGCCAGCAGTTTCACCAGCCACAACACTGCCTTCGCGGTGTGCACCCGGCACGGCGCGGCATGCACCCCTCACTGAGGATGAGATCCCCTCTACAATTTCTAGTATTCAGGAGGAAATGACATTGCATTAAACATCCCGCCAAGGCTGCAATCCCTAAACCTCCCACGGGATCCCCTGCTGCACCTGATCTTTAAATCCTCCTTTTCCCAGGCTGATTTTCCCCCCTGCATCGGGATGAAGGTTTCATGGATGCGCTGTCACCCTTCCCAGTCCCGCCAAGGCAAATAAAAGCGGGACTGGCTCTTGTTCACGAAACGCCGGCCGATAAGGTCTGAACTCGAATGCTACGAACCAGCAAACTCGTCACAGGAAACAGCCTTTAAGAGGGGGCTAGCATCAGAGCCTGAAATTCGGCCGCCGTTACCACTTCCAGTCTTCCTCCACCCAATTCACGTTGCAAATAACTTGCCGGTGGCAAAGCCCTCAGCCTCCCGTCGAGGAAAAGGGGGAAAAGGAAGGTCCATACCCGCACAGATGTTACCAGCGGGACGTCGGACAGATGGAGGCACCCGGTGGCGCTGAGCCCCACCGGCCAGATGAGGAACGGGAGATCCTTGCGAGAGCAGACGGGTCACGCGCGGCTGCACCACGTTTTCCCGTGCGGCCAAGACGCCGAGGACGTGCCGGGATGGCGGAGGAGGCAGCAGCAGCCCCTGCCGG